GTTCACAGTGCTCTCGGGAGGCAGCCTGCGAGTGCAGCTGTTGTAACCCTCCTCACGGCGTGCTGATGCCCACATCCTGTGCGTGGGGCGATCACCATGTGCCAAAACCCAGATGTGACCAGTGCATGTCACGAGCCAGTCCAGCTCATCTCTGTAGTGCTGCCCATTACAAGGCACGTGTAGCTGGCATGGCCGTTGTTGTACAATTTAGTTCTTTCACCACTTCCCCCCACCACCCTCCACATACCCAAGTTGTTAATTTTGTTTACTTGTGACGCATATTTTGTCCACAGATCTGAACTTTCCCAAATGTGCATGCATGTCCTTTTTTTTTTTTAAACAAGTAAGTTTTGCCTGCAAAAGAAATTGCAGAGAACACAAATGGAAGTAAAGCTCATTGAAATATTAGCAAGTTGTTCTGTTTTCTGCTAGTTTTCATCAGGGATAGAAGAACAGCAAAGCCACAGCAAAAATAGCTATGAAATGACTCTGGGGGCTGCAAACGTAGTACTGAAAGTGATCACTTAACTGTGGTGGTTTCTTTTATGTGGTAAAGTCAAGGTGTTTTATTTCTCCCTGCCCTGTGAGGTGTAGAGCATTATTACCCACACTTTATCGTGCCTGCCATGTGGAGGCCAGGGAGGGGAGAGGATGTAGCAGGGGTTACACAAGGCCAAGGAAGCCCCAGCAACAGGATCCAAAGAGCCTGGACCACCCAGCGCCTTCCTCATGTCCCACAAGCCATCGGGGGAAGATTAGCTCTAAACCCTTTTGGCTTCTATGTACAGTATAATCATCTAAATGAAATCAATGAATACTTGATTTGAGAGCCTCCCATTGCTCCATCCCCGCTGTTCCTAATGTTTGTTAACAGATTGCTTTGTGGTGGAGTGCAAAGGTGCCGCTCTATAAAACCGTAATGACTTCTGGAAAGGAAGTGGCCCTGTGCCTTGCAGAAACACCATCCAATTTTGACTGGTGCATGGGGAGCTGAGAAGTCATTATTGCTGCTGCTGGAGCCAGATGGAATACGAATTTCTGCTCAGTTATGGTTAAGATGACATTTCCTTTTTTCTTTGCTTTCTCTCCTTCCTTATTTACTGGCAGAACATGACCCTTTCACTTGCCCTGAACAGGGAACTGCTGTGAAGTAAGACCCCATGCTCCTAGGTAGAGCATCTCACTCGCTGTCTCCTACCCTCTTGCAGGTCCAACGCATCCCTTGACTTTCTTTTTGCTTTTGTTTTCCAGTCCTTAGGGGTTTTCTTCACAGCCCCCAGGCAGTTTTTTATCCTTTCTTGCTTTCTAAGCAGAAAATGAGATATTTGATGAGGTGACTGGAGTTTGCCCTTGCGAGGGGGTTCAGTGGTGCCAGCTCTCGCACTGCCTGACTCTAAGAACCAAGGGACTTGCAGGGAAGGAAGGAAGGGATTGCGGCTCTAAGTGGGCCACAGCTGCAGGAGTGTGTTTCCGTGGCAAGGTGAAACTCATCTGAACAGATGCAATTATTCAGCTGTTGCTGAAAGTTGTACATTTGGTCTCTTTTCTCCCTGGAGAAAGACCTAAGATCCGGTGGCCGCTGGGCTGGCAAACCACCCTGTATTTCATGTGGTTACTGACAGAAGAAGTAGGAGGATAATTTAGAGCAGATCTATCAGATCTCATGCACATCACGTGTGTACAAGCAGCTCTTGCCTCACTTTTCCCAAGGTCCATGAACTTCCAGCAGGATCATGCTGTGGTCCCTCTGTGCCCCGACGTGTGAGATGGGGATGACTGGCAAACCAAAGGGCCCTTCCCCCGTGCCAGGTACCTCTGCTGTAATGCTGCCTTACCACTCTAGAGAGAAGCGCGAGAGAGATGGTGGCAAGGAGCTGAAATACCCGATGCATCTGTTCATGTTTGCAGTAGTACTTAGTAGTAATACTTTAAAGTGTTTGAAGGCACAGAAACTGCTTGTGGATTTATTTGAATTACACGGCCAGTTATTCAGAGCTTTTTAGTGGTATTCCCTTGGCCTTTTCCTGCAAATCAGTTTAGCACATTTGACACATTGCGGGTGAACCAGCTCTTTGATGAAAAACGTAGTCACAAGACACAAGTCACACCCTCTTAGTTGCTTCTGTACCATTCCAGTCATTAAATGTAATCATCCTTATCCACAAGTTCGGTCATTTTAAAGTGCTAGAGAGTGAAATTAATATAAATAGATCTCAAGACTTCAGGTTCTCAGGGTCTTCAGCCTGCTGTTTCTAGTTCGTATTTTTAGGAGTCCCGTCCTCCTCTGTGCCTGGAGCAAAGTCTGGTAAATTAGAGAGGTATTTTGACGTGTGTCTTGCTGGGTGTTGGGTTAGGCCTCCTCTGCCTCTCCTGGAGACTGTGTTGTGAAGGAACTCCTTACAATTTACAGGTTAGGACCAGGGGCTGACATCTGCTCATAAAAATATGGCAGGTGTCTGTGTTTTACAGAGATAATGACAAATGAAGAGTTACTTACCCTGTTTCTGGAAGTTTTTACATGAACACACACTTGCATATATCCATACATATATTGTCAAACCCATCTGGTATTTCAAAACAATAAATTATTGGCAGGCTGGTGACAGGAATGTTGACAGCTTTAAATCACTTCTTCTTTGAGAGCATTAAATAACTCCATTTTAGTTCAAGGAAATCTTGACTTTAAAACAAAAAGGCTGCCCAAAACCCATATGATGTTAATGGCTAACACTGTGTCTGTGCTTTTACAAGACGCTGATCATATCTGAAATCCCAAATGACCAGCACATCTGATTTTATAATCAGTTTGTGTGAGGATCTTTGATGAAATACTTCTTGAAATTCTGTCTTTCAACTGTATTAATGTCATCAGTGTTCTTGGTCTATCCTAAAACTTTCACTTTTTATACTGATGTTTATTACAATATTTTCCAAATTTTTGAAGCAAAAAGTCTTTCAGGAAGATGATCAGCAATGCCTCCTTGGGAATTTGCTGAAAACCAAGTGATCTTAATCCACATAGCTTTTCCTTTACACTTCCTCTCTTTGGAAATCACTGTTCCATTTTATGTTATTGCTTCCCCTTCCTCATATTCCTTGATGAGTAATAAAACACTCTACAGTGCTGGTGTTTAAAATATCTTCACTGGCATCGCAGTTGGATGGGTGAGTGAATGACTGAGAGAGTTTTCTCTTAAGTTGATTTTTTTCAGGCTCTCTGCAAATTCAGGCCCTAGCGATGGGTATTTTTGTAGCAGTCACAATTGCCACGCACTCCTGAGCTTTCCTTTGCAAACCCAGGCGGGGCTTTTTACTATATATATGTGTGTGTGTGTGTATACTGCTGTTGCACACGCAGTGTGCGCTGTCCTTCAGCTGCCGCGATGGGTCTGGGCTGCCCTTTGGAAGCAGCAGGTAACAGTGTCATGGAAGTCACACGCTGGAGAAGGTGCCAGCCAGAGCTCACATTGCCTTTGCGTGCCCGTCGCTGGCTGTCACCTAGACTGTCCTACTGGTTTGGATAAACTTTCCATATTCTGGATTCGCGATTTGTCACTGTGTTGGTATTTTCATTGCTCTGGCTTTGATCTCAACAAAAGCCCTGCGCGGATCCAGGAGTCTGTTGACACAGTCCTTTTTGCCCATCTGGGCCTTTTGAGCTCATTACAGGACAAAAAAGGGTGCATGAAAGCAGAGCTTTGGAAGACATGGTATTCGCCAAATAGTTAAAAGGCTGCTCTGTCTCTTTAGGGACGTTGCTTCATATCTGAGCTTGCAAATGTTTCTCTACACACCATTCTTTCCTGACGTAGCTGTGACAGCCCAACAATATTAACAGTGCTTATTATTGCTGTGGCAATGTAGAGAAATCCATCCCACATAAGAACTGCAGTAGAAGTAAAAAATGAAGAGAGAGACCCTGTGTTCCCTGAGTTTACTGTCGGCAGATCTAGACTGCAGGAAGTCAGTGGATACGGAGAGATGGGGAAGCAGGAAGAAAACGATGTTACAGCCGCTGTTGTCTAGCACTACTAGTGACGGCTTTATATAGGTTTTCCTTTGGAAGGATGCTGTAGTTTCTTCAGCTGGGTCAGCAATTGCTCGTTGTTGCTGATGTGCCTTTGCTCTGGTGCAAGCCCGCAGTTCTCTGACCTGTTCTTCAGGTCATTCTGCCTAGGGTTAGTGCCAAGAAACCCCAGCTCTGCGGTGCCAGGCTTTGTATGCTGAGAAACAAAACAGGCTGTCCCTGAAAGCACAGTCTGGCAGCGCTGTGAAGATCATTGAGTGCACGTGGCTTTAAAGGACGTGGCTGCTGTCCACGTGAAAGCTGACAGGGAGATAGCACAGCACATTAGCAGCCCAGCAGTCTGCTCAGGTAATGCATGGCACTAGTCAGGCCCGTTGCAACACGGGGTGGCAGGGATGCTGGGCTCTCCTCGCCTGTGACTTTGGTTACTGGTCTTTAACAAGAGCTGCTGTTACAGTAAATATTATTGGCAGGTAAAAGCACATCGAAAATCCATACGCTGACATTGCTTGTGGTTTACAAATGGTATTTCCTTTTCAGTGTGCATTTGTGAGCATGTTTGTAAATGAAGTTTTTGTTTGTGCTAATGGAAATTTATGAATCTATACATGTCCTTTTCTCCTTGTCATTTATTAGAAAACTGAAAATCTTCAGGATTGCCAATAGAGGAAAAGGACCAATATGTAGATAAAGTTCCTCTGTACAGAGATGAAACAAAGGGACTAGGTTTGCCTCTGGTTATGCTAATTCGTTGCTCCAAGCTAGGTGTGACTGCATTCCCTCTAACCAGTTCTGTTCTTCATATCTTAAATAAGAGCTACAACCACAACAAGGAGCATTAAGAGATGGACAATGAAAGCAATTGAGTCACAGAGAGTTTTCTGTGTCTGTTTTTGAGGAGGGATGGAAAAGATAGGTTTGCTTTAATTTAAAGAAGAGACAAATAGGCAGGGATGTGACAAGAGTGTACACGATGAATGATACAGAGAAGGTGAACTGGGTGCTCGCGCTTGCCCGTCCTCAAGTATGGAAGCAGAGGAGCATTCAGTAACGCTGGAAGGCAAAAACAGTACCACCATGTAAAGAGATTTTTTAAGCAGTAGTTACACTGTTCCTACAAGTTCATCTTGTTCTCCATTATACTAGAATATATACTGATGGAAATTCCTACAGAATTCCTCCAGAAAACAAATTCAGGTTATCCATTTAATCAGAGGTTATGGACTTACTGTAAACACTACTGGATCAGGTTATGTGGCTGCTGTGGAGGAGAGCTGGCTACTGAGTCTTGATGGTCTTGCCTAACCTTAAAAATACATGGAAGGTGGTAAGGTATTAATGTGTGTAATGAAGCCATCCATGCATGTGGTAGATAGAGTAAAAAAGGAATAATTCAAATCAGAAATCCGTCAGTGATGGAAAAAAACATTGCTCTGTAGTTGTCCATCGTGTGCTTTTTTGCATCTCTCCGTGAAGTATCTGCTGGTGACCTTTTCAAAGCACTGATGTTTGAACACATTGGTTCAGTGCTCTACTGTAAAGGCAGAGCAGGCTGCCATCCATGAGGAAGTAAGAAATACATTTATTCTTCCTGAATATTCTTGTCTGGTATTCTTTTGCTTTCTGATGTTCAAATGAATAGTCATCTTTAATTCATAAGTTTATATCTAGATTCAGAAAAAAAAATGAAGTAATTTGACCAGGAGATTCTAGGGAACGTTAATAAATGGCATAAATTGTGTATGATATTCTCCCACTTAGGTAAAAAACAGGGACGGTGAAACTTGCAGTTATGTAAATGGCTGAGGAGCCAGTGTGATTGCCTTCTGGTTGTATTATTGCAAATCTCCTTAGGTTCCTTGCTACTTTTAGACTTGATCTCTGACACTCTTTTTGCTAATTTTTAATTATGTTTTAGTACCTCAACACACGTTATCTGGGGTGATTATCAGTAGTATAAACTCTCATTCAAAGTTTTCTTCCCATAGCTGTTTTGAGGACTGTGCCTGCCTCCTCTCTAATGTTTTTATCTGGTGTTTTATGGTCTAATTAATAATTCACCAGGCTAGGATGCAGGAGACCTGGTCCACACCTTGGTTGGCAAGGTAGTTTAAAGCACCCAGAGTTTCTGGGTGAAAAACACTCAATGTGATGTAGGGAAGATTACCTTTTTTAGTAACAGTTTCTCACATCTTCTGTTTAGACCTGTGTTTCTTGATGAGCTAGAGACATTGCGGATGGTTGTTGATATTTTCCATGGTACATGGTATGCAGTTATGAAGCATTTTGAATATTTAGTATTCAATGAGATTGGAAGTGTTGTATGAATCCTATAAATGATATAATTTGCAAGAGTTTTTAGGAGGAGATACTTGTATTTATGTGCATACCCATATATGTACTGTGTATGTAAACTGTATAGAATGAATGTGTTTGCCTACCACTGTGGTCCAGCTGCATCTGAAATGATTAGGTAAGTACCTAGGCAGCCCTGAAATCTCTTGCTGCAACAAGATGAAGAACATTTTAGCCGCCTGAAACCACAGAGAAAATTTAATCATAAATGTAATTACCTGATCAGAGGTGTGAAAATGTTATGTTTAAACTAAAGTGAAAAGAAACATTGTCTCATTTTTTTGGCATTTATCAAAAGCCCTCCAAACACCGTCTAGGTGGCGGACTAAGCCACCTTTTATCAATCTCAGCTGAAGACTTGCTGTTGACTTTTTAAGGCTAAATCATTTCTATTATTCTGTAGAAACTGCATTTTTGTTGTTATCTATGGAAAGAGCCCCACTGATTTGAGCATGTAAGTACATGGGGGTGGGGTGGCAGGATTTGTGTTAGTTAAGAGGAGATGAGGAAGTTCAAATCATAGCAGCAGGATATAAATCAGATTTTTTTATTCTTTTTTGTAGTTGGCTCGCCACAATAGACTATTGCAGCAGATGCTGAAGCCAGGGTCAGATCCAGATGAAGGAGATGAAGCCTTGAGGTATTACGCCAATCATACGGCACAAATAGAGGTAAACGATTACTCAGTAAAAGGTTGAATATGAGACAAGTTTGCATCTGATGCATGATGTATCACTTCTTTTTGCATTTCTGAAGAGCAAAGTTATTTAAATGATAGAGATTACTTATGGAAAGAAAAATGTTTAGTGATATGTTTTTGGCTGTGGGAGAGAATGGGATGCCCTTATGTTAAAAGTGTCTTCAAACACTTGGTTTGCAGTAGCTTCTTCAGTAACCTTTTTCTTTGCTAGGAAAATAGTGACTGTGGACAGTAGCCGTGTCAGAGTCATGAGAAACGTTGTACAGCACATCAGGCAAATAATAGTGAGGGTCAAAGTCAGTGATGCTAGCTGATGCAATTAAAAGTCTGGCTGCAGTGCAAAGAAATTTTGAAGTGCTGTAGATGTTCAGCATGGCTTTTGTTTAAATGAGCAAGGCTAGGCCTGCTGCATCAGTTCTGTTCTCCATTTTAAACTTTTCCTCTGCCATGGACTGGATTTAGATCAAGATGCACAGAGGTGTTTAGGCTAGGCTCTTAACTCTTGTGTCAGATCCTTTGCTCTTGCAGATTTTATGTGATTTTAGGCGTGAAGGTAGGAGTGAGGAGCCCAAGTGTCTCCAGTCCTCAGTGGCTTTAAACAAACGAACTTCTAGGGGGGGCAAAGATGGCTGCTGCAGGAGACTGCAGAAAGGAGAGGCACCTGCTTCTCTTGCAGAAATGAGCTATCAAGTCCAAAATGGGCTGAAAGGAAAACTTGGGAATTGCCCAGGGGCCCAACTTGACCCTGAGCTCAGCAGTTTCCCCACTCTTCCCAGTTCCTTGAGTGCTCAGTGGGCTCTGCGGCCTCCTGCACTGGTCCTGAGCTTGCAAACCCAGGGAGCAGTCTGATACAAGCGCCTCAGGCCCGTCTTGTGCTGGCTGCACTCAGGGCAGGTGGCTGTTGGGGCCCTTCTTTGGCATATTAGGCTATCTTGTTTGCCTCATATTGGTCGCATTGCATCACCGCAGGGTGGGTAGAAGGTCCCCAGCTGTGGGGCAGTGTTAACTGGGAGAGATTTGCTTCAACCCATTGCAAAGTTGAAGCATTTCAAACTGCGGTATTCCTAAAATTTGCGGGATGTTTCAACCTAGGTTTTGCATGAAGCACTTATTTATGACCTCGTTTTCAGGTGGTCTTTGAAGGTAGAAATGCAGTTTTACTTTATGTCTTAATTGGCTCATGAGTTTGAACGACTTCTATGCTCATTCATAAATATGAAGGGAACTGTGAGCAAGAAAAAAAGAATGTCAGAACGGTTGGGAAGTCCCTGATCTTAAAAAAAAAATGTACTTTTGCTTTATAGATTGTTCGTCATGATAGAACAATGGAACAGATTGTCTTCCCCGTCCCCAATATCTGTGAATTCCTGACTCGGGAATCCAAAAGTCGTGTGTTCAATACAACAGAGAGGGATGAGCAAGGGAGCAAAGTGAATGACTTTTTCCAACAGACAGAGGATCTGTACAACGAAATGAAATGGCAAAAGAAAATTCGGAGTAAGTACTGCAGTTTCAAAAAATCGGTTCTAAGATGCCTTAATTATGCTAAACCCCCCTGCACGTAAGCCCTCAGATATTTTCCATTTTAATAATTTTGTTTTCTCTAGTCGTTCTGATATTACAACAGGCAAAACTGTTCAGAGCCCAGGAGTGTAGGTCAGCAGAGACACTTGCATGCCACTAAAAGAGAGACATGACATGGAGCAGTTACTAATAACTAATGTGTTCAAGATGATATTCTGAATTACAAAAGCTAAATTAAGGGCTGGGTGAAGTGGGTGTAGCTCCACTACACTCAATAGAGTTGCACCTAATTAAGCCAAGGCCTCTAATATTTAGCAAAAACATGTGTAGCTGCATATTTGAGGCTTGCAGATTCCTAAAAGACCACTTTAAAACTTGTAAATGTCATTTGCTTAAAAACATCTCTCACCAGAACCTCAGCTGCTTTAAATCAGTTGGACTCCCACGGAGTCCGTTCCCTGCTGCCAGCTGACATCAGCCTTGCCTGGTGGGGCCATGGGACGTCCCCGCGTGCCAGCCCTCGCTGGCCGCGCTCCTGGCGTGGCAGCTGGGCCGCACGGACCGTCCCAAGCCATCTGCAGGCCCCGTCGAGCCCCATGAGGGGCCCCATCGAGCTCCTGGGGCAAAAAAAAATGCAAAAATACATGGAGTGATCACGTCCTTCACCGTTCGGACGCAGATGCCCCTGCGGTGACAGACATCAGCTGCCCTCGCAGCCCGCGGCAGTCTCATGTCACTGTCTAGGAAGGAAGGGAAGAAGAGGATCTACGGGAGAGCAGCAGGGAGTGTGGATAGTTAAACCAGTGTGGTTTAATGTAGCATCTTTAGCGTGATGGAAACATGAATGTGGGTTGCAGTTTTTATAAACTTCAATCTCCAGCTTGTAATTTGCAGAGGCAGTAATGAGTTTTCAGTGTGATTTCTACTGGCCCATGTCTGCTTTCCTTGATGTCAATATGAGAAGTTGTCTATACTGACAAGCTGCCCAGAGCAGCAATTGCAAAATAAATGTCTTCAGAATAACTCCCTATCTGCGTGGTCTATTTGGGACTTTAAGTCACCATATTGTAAAGTAATTACTATACTAACAAAAGCGTAGCTGTGTTCCTTGCTTAAGAAATACAAATAAAAAAAGCCCATCCCAACACTACATAGACCAGACCTGCCTAATGCTATAAGCAAAGAAAATTGGTTTATTTTTATTCAGAACAGAAATTCCTCGATTCCTTTCATCAGCGGAATGTACCCCAAGTCTTCGTGTTATTTTGTTTGAAAATGTAATAGAGGTTCAGACTAGGTTCATTCTTCAGCCAAGTGTCTATTAGACACACAATCTGTGTTGCACAGATTGACATATGTCATTTGCCGTGGCTCCAAATGTTAAATCCCAACAGTCAACAGGATAAGCTTATCACAGGTGAAATCTGAATATTACCTAACCACCATTAAAATCGGTTTAGACTAAAGTCTGAGACTGACATATTAAGTTGAAAAAGTCTGCTGTTTGTAAAAGGTTACAGAATCACAGAGCAGCTGAGGCTGGAAGGGCCCTCTAGAGATCATCCAGTCCAACCCCCCTGCTCCAGCAGGGACACCCGGAGCACGTGGCACAGGGTGGCAGCCGGGCGGGTTGGGAAGATCTCCAGAGAAGGAGACTCCACAGCCTCCCTAGGCAGCCTGTTCCAGGGCTTGGTCACCCTCACCGTAAAGTTCTTCCTCATATTCACATTCATACAGAGAAGTCTAAGGTGAGTAAGAGTCAGAAGCCAAGTCAAGAATATGCTCTTCCTGCTGGCAGGAGGATCACAGTACTTCAAAATCTGATTACAGGAATACGTCATCTTCAAGTAGGTAACCCTTACTGACTGGAGATTTTTAATGCCAATTTACAAAGAAGATTGTTTTAAGTGTTCATTTAAACTTATAGTAGTGCAGTCACATATATTAAGTACTTGCCTGGATTTTGGTGCCATCTGAGCTTGTTCTTTTTGTTGAATAGCTTGTATGACTTTGGACACAATATCTTAACCTATTAGTCTTTCCCTACTACCTTTTTTGTTTTTTCTGTTTAGCTTGTGGGATCCTTGGGACATAACTTTTCCTGTGTATTTGTACAGTTCTTCCCATGCAGATGTCCTGGCTCCATCTGTGCCATTCTAAGCACTAGGATAATTCTAGTAGTACAGAATCAATAGGCATCCTTAAAATGTCTGGGAATCACATGGGAAACTATTAGTTTCCATAGAACCAAATCCCAGACAGACTAAATTTTACCTATACCTCCAAGGAGATCAAGATATATTTAGTTCAACAGAGATAAACTGTTCTGGAAAATACAGTTTAGTCTTACCTATTCCACTGCTGTTTGATTAATATAATTTGTATCTTTGACTCGAATGGGTCATCTGGCTGACCCATTCTGGATCTTCTGGTTGACTGATGTGCAGAGTGCTAAAAACCAGCTATGCACCTGATTTCATGTCTTTGTGCACAGATACCACAGTTTCATAAGTGGGATAAAAGACTCCTTTACAAAAGATCAGTCTTGTTCTGTTGGAAGCTACGTATTATTGTGGCATCCTTGTGTTAAATGCTTCTCTGGTTTAGTTAGTTAAAGATCGTGCATTTTATTCTCTTTGGTTTTTTTTCTTCATTAGTCAGTGTTTTTAATCCCCGTGAAACTTTTACTGATTGAACTCATGCCTGCGCTCAGTTCATTGATTGCTGCTTTTTTCCCCTTTCTAGATAATCCAGCCCTGTTCTGGTTTTCTAGACACATTTCTCTCTGGGGGAGTATTTCCTTCAACCTTGCTGTATTCATCAATTTAGCAGTTGCTCTGTTCTACCCCTTTGGAGATGATGGAGATGAAGGCAAGTAGAGTTTGGTTTTATTTTTTCCTTTTAATTTCAGCGCCTTCCATGCTAAAGTTATATAAAGTTATATAAATATATATATACAGTTATATAAAACAGCACCTTCAGGTGTGCTCATATGTGTGGATGCCATTGAGTTAGTGTCTTTTAAGAAGGTGCTTGCTGTTGCCCAAGACGCGGTGGCCAGTCTTCTGTGTCACATCTTTTGCAAGAGGACAAAACAGAGCTGAGATAGAATCTAAAGTCTTTTTGTGTGTTTGTTTGTTTGTTTGATATTGCAGGGTATGCTTCTGTACACATTCAGTTACAGTCTCTGAGCTGAAGAACAGCTCCTGGCAGCTCAAGAAATGAGATTACTTAAAACTCACTAATTTGAATGACTTATAGTCTAAAATAGGATATGGAATGGAGGATATGAAAACTGTTTAGCTTTGGGGGTTTTAACTGAGTGGTTTATTGAGATGAAAGAACGCAATTATTGCAACAGATAATGCATTATGTAAAAGTGTGCTTAAAACCGGTGGTTCTGGCTGTGCTTCATCACAGGTCACAGGAAATACAGCAAATAATAGATGTCGTTAAATAAACGCAGCAAACTAGCAGGAGGCTGCTTTGAATCGACAGCAAGCTTAATGGGGATAAAGGAGACTAAATAGTTCAGGAGCCTGGTAATGAGAGTCGAGCCTTTCACCTCTGGCTCTTTGATTTGTGTCCAGCCTGTAATGTGACTGAAAGTCACCTCTGCCCGATGGCATGTGAGCCGCGCCGTGGAAGGGCTCCAGCTCCCAGCGGGTACATGCGCTTGTCACAAACACCCCAGCTGGCACCAGCAGGCGTTCCTGCCGGCCGGCCACGCAGCAAGGCAGCGGGATAAAGCATCCTGGCGCGCACACCGCGCCACCCTTTCCTCCTCCACCATGGTCCCGGCGGGTCGGGCGGCCGCGCGCAGCCGGGTTGGGGGCTGTGCAAAAGGGCCACTTTGCCCTCCGTGGGCTGGAGGGGCCCTCACGAGCACACGCGTTGGAGCCTGCGCGATGCAAGAGAAGGAACGAAGAGTTAAAAACAAACCTGCTAACCTTAATAAGTTTTAGCCAGTTTATACTCATGGAAATCTTCTGGTCTGCGAGCAGTAGGCATTAACGCTTACTTTGAACAGCAGATTTACGTAGTATTAGTTTAAGTGCCACCCCCCCAAATCCAGCGCTTTCAGTGATAGTGCATTTCAGGATCCTAATTCCTCGTGCTCGTACGAGCAAAAGGGATTTATAAACAATACACAATAGGTGTGGCCAGATGGGATTAGCCTGGTCACGAGGCAGACTCCTTGCTTCTGGCCTCCCCCTCCACCAAAAATGGGCCCAGGAGCTGGCATTTGCCTTGCGTTTTTCCCCCTTCACCTTGAGTAAAGCCAGCCGCGCTCACATGTCTGAGGGCTGATCTAATCATCCCAAGAATGCCGCCTTTTCAAAGATTTCTGCAATCCTCACATCATGTGACAGGAGGGAAACTGCGTGCCCGGCAAGGGCTCTTGGCCGCCAGTGCGCACGTCGTGCCCGCACACGTTACCCGTGCAGATCCCACGACGGAGATGGATGGACCTGTGGGAGGGACGGAAGAAAAACGATTTGCAGAGAAACACTGAGGGGTTTGGGCCTTGCCTCTGCAAAGATTGCAGATCTGCTTTGAAGCTGTTTTTTCAGGATCTGGTAGAAGTTTGCAAATCACACAGGCAGAGAAACTCTCTGACAGAGTTGTCCTTGAACCTCCTGCCAAGGATATAAACACTCCTGAACCTTGCATAAGTTTGGATGCCACCCTATTATTTCATCTCATCTCAGTGTTTTCTGCTCCCACCAATACTACTTAGCTCTTCCCAAGCAGATAGCGTTATTTCTATTGGGAGTCTAGCTAAATTTTCTGTCCCTTCTCCACCACCAGCACTGACCTCTCGGTTCATCTGATAAGAGCAGAAGGCAGCAGGCGAGTGTGACAGCGGCCCCAGATCCAAGCACGCTTTATCAGTGCAACGTGGTGTGTTTGCAGGGCCTTGAGCAGAGGCAGGACAGGAAGAGGCACGTTCCTCCAAACCCATCCTGCCCGGCAGCAAGGAGGGAGCTCCCATGTGCCTGCACGAGCCTGTGAGGCGGCTCCTCGTGAGGTGCTCGCGGCACCGCGGCTGCCGCCCGGATCCCGGCGGCTGCTTCCCGCCGCGACCAGCGCCCTGTTGCTGAGCACAGGCAGAGGCTCCTGCGAGCGGCTCCTGCAAGCTCAGGGCGGCCCCGCAGCGAAACGTGAGTCCGCAGCACAGCGCCGCGGGCCGCGCCGACGAGTGGCTATTTCTGTAGCCGCGCAAGCAGGGAATTGGAGTGCGGGAGCCTTAATGAGCCCTGCGGAGCGGAGCTGATTAGCAGAGTGCACCGGGAGAAGGGCAAACGGCTGCATCGCTCGAGCACTCCTCGGATTTCCATGGAAATTTCACGAGCTGCCATTATGACCACCTATGCACAAGGAGGAGTGCCGGGATAACATTTCTTGTTGCAATTAGGGGAATTGTGGTCAACAGTTGTGACATATGATTCGCCTTTTGCCTGCTGTGTTGGCAAAGGCATTGATTTTTTGGGTCTGTTTCCTGGTGCAAAACTGAGTTTCTGAGGACGCCTTTTTAATTTCTCCCTCTCCTCCCTACAGGCACGCTCTCTCCGTTGTTTTCAGTCCTCCTTTGGATAGCAGTGGCACTTTGTACAGTGATGCTGTTTTTCATCTCCAAGCCTGTTGGTATCCGACCCTTTCTGGTGTCTGTTATTCTCAGGTCTATATATACTATAGGGCTCGGTCCCACCTTGATACTTCTTGGTGCTGCTAATGTAAGTACTTTAAAAGCCAGCAGACTTCCCCTTTCAGCAGAAATAGAAATACTAAATGTCTCCTATTAAAAAATATCCTTGATTAGAGCTATGCAAAGAAATTCTTTTTCTGATTCACTGGTTGAGCCAAAAAATAACTAAATCATTTCCAGTCATCTTGAAACAGCAATATCAGCAAACTGAAAAGCAGAGGAAAAAAGAAATATCATTGAATAAAAAGAATAAATATCACAACTTTTCCTGTTAAAAAAGAATCATTTCCACTAGCAAATATGTCCAGCAGAGTTGACACAATTAATAAAACCTGGAATTAAAATTCTTTTAAGAAGAAAAGAAGTTTCCAGATAAGAGTTCTCCCAGCCTTTTCCCAGATCTCTTCACTTACTCATGTCTATCTTTGCATATTTCTTGAGGGTGGCAGGATATATGGTTGTACTCACAAATCATCTATCTAGATTTCTGTCTGACTGCCACATCTCTAATTTGACTTGGAGCCAGGCAACATTGGGTACCATACCATTAGGGATTTGCAACCAGTTCTGGGGGATTTTGCATGCCTAAAAAGACCTGAGCATGTAATCAAGGATAAATCAAGGGTAAATAAACAGTATTTACCCAGGTTGAAGCTGTAAAAGAAGAATGGCAGTGAGTCCTCATTGCTTGTCCTGGACCACCAAGCATATGAGGTTGACTGAGTTTGCATTTAGTTATATTTTGCTGTCCCCTTGCAAATGAAGCTTGAGAGCAATGGAAAATCTGATGTTGTTGCTTAAATACTACACTTCAAAAATGAGCATTATTTTAGCATTATTTTAAGGTTTTTATATTGTAAAATGTGATGTGAAGGAAATAGTTAATTGTACGCTACCCCCTCCACCCATTTGGTTACTGTTGTTCTTACTGTAGTAGCCTTCCTTGCTGCTGCCATATGGTGTGAGCTCCAAACTCCAAAGTGCTAGGGATGCACTCTGTTTTTTTCTTAATGTCTTATGGCACTAATCTCTCCCTGCCGACTTGCTGATTTTACAGAAATATATCATAACGTCCTGAGACACTGTGCTGTGTTAGAGAGGTGGCTGTACTTCCACGTGCTCTCGTGGACAAGTCGAACATCTAGTCAAAGCAACTTAACTAGATTTTTCACGTGCTGTAGCAATACAAACCATAAATAACAACGTTTTTCTGATCGAATAAACTTTGTTATCTCCCGCAGCTTTGTAACAAAATAGTGTTTCTGGTGAGCTTTGTTGGGAACCGCGGCACATTTACTCGTGGCTACAGGGCGGTTGTCATGGACATGGCGTTTCTCTACCACGTAGCCTATGTCCTGGTCTGCATGCTGGGCCTCTGCGTGCACGAATTCTTCTATAGCTTCCTGGTAAGTATGTGCTTCTGTGGAGGGGAAAACTGTGCAAAAATAGAAAATACCGTTACACACGCAGCTGCCTTCAATTTCTTCCTGACAATCAAGTCAAATCATGTGTATTTTTAGCATCCCGTTCTGTTGGTGCCCCTTAGGAGCTGGTGTTTGCATTAGAATCTGTTTCTGTTAGGACTTAGTTTATCTCTCTCGCGGCAGTGAGAGTTTGCCCATTTCTTTTCAGAAAACTGTGAGATTGCCCCGTGTTCTCCCATCATTCCCCAGCGTACCCGTGCTCTGTATGTGGTGTTACTACAGTGTCAGCTGAGTCTCTTTCGACAAGCGTTGTTCACTTGGGATAATGTCTCTACTGAAGGATCCCATTCCTCAAACCATCCTGTAGTCCTAGTGAAAAAAAAAAAGTGACTTGGGGAGTGAGGATGGCATGCTGCTGGTGTAGCAGGAAGATTCATCACTTTAAATGTGTCTGCTTCCATTTCCTTTCGTTGTCATTACCCTGGTGGAAAGGCTTTTTATCATATGGTACAGGTGCAGTGCAAATGAATCATACAGAATTATCCTAACCTCAGCTAACTGCTCTCTTCACACTGAGCAGCATTAAAAGGTATTTCACGCCTCTTGTTTTCCAATCCTTTTGTTTTATGCTGAAACACGTGAAACTTTCAGGGAGACTGACTAAACTGTGGCCATTTATATGGTTTCACCTTCCTTTATAAGTGCTATCATATTTTATTGGTTTCCTGAATAGCGATGAGCTCTCAGCATTTCATAACACGTGGAAATTTTCAGGGCTTGAGTCCTTACTCTGGCAGAGCTATGGTTGAAATCAAGTTTTCCAGGTCCAAATCTGGACATTAAAGGCAACCTCAAAGCTTGGATAGATTTCAAAAGAGCTAAGATATGGGGGGAATCAAACTGCAAGATCCTTTTGGATTTTGGAGAGTGGATTTAACTCTCCTGCTAATAGACACCTGCGTTAAAAAATGCACTCCTATATCATCTGTTACACCTTCAGTGACCAAAGTGAGTGCTATCTTAAAATGCCTTCCAACAGGCCAAGGAGTCCGAGAAACACTGTGTGTAGTTACACTTGTAAATGATTGCTATTGACAAATGCCCATGATTTGTGGCTGGTGCAGTTGTCAGCATTCCCTAGTTACTTACAGATGTTTGCTTTGTAGTGGAAATACCCCAAACTCTGATATTTGTTCCTCATTTTAAGCTTCGTTTAGCATGGGATGAATGATAATTGTCTTTCCCTCTTTCTTGCCTTATTGTTAATCCTTTCACAAGGCTGCACATTTTAGATCTTGTGAATTGTGACTAATACTTTCTTCTGTGGACCATTTTGATAAATCATTGTGTGACACTTTATATCTGTAATCTGAGTGTTTTGAAGTGGAAATACATATATTACAGATAAGGTCCACAGCACTGTAGAACATCAATAGAATTGTAGAAGAAATAAAAAACTATAGTTTCTCGAAGAGCACTTTTTGCTTCTAATTGTTATTTTTAGGCCTTTGACATTAAAATAAATAGTGTCTTAATGTACACTTCCTTTTAAAGTTGGATGCTGGGAAAGCAAATAGTGTTGGGTAAAGAAGAAGTTTCTAGTTTTATACCGACAGTGCAATGAATTTAACTTTGCCCTAAAAATAGATGGTCCTTGTCCTTGCATGTGTGAATGACTTCTGTGTGGTCCCATGAGCTCAAGAAAACAGTTTCCATACATGTAATGACTTGAATGCCTGAATGCTTTTCTGAAGTCCACCCCATGCATGTTTATCAGATGAGAAATAATGTGAAAAATTAATTCGTAGATGTAGATTCACCGGTTGCTTTTGGATTTTAATCTAGCTGACTTTGAATTTAAGGAAAACAACTCAGCCTTGTTCCTAAACATTTCCTGGGTCTGGATCAGTCTGTCATCTCATGTATGCTTTTGAATTTGGATTTCATTGTGATCTTTCTTAAAGTCTAAGTCTCTGTGCTGAAATCAGTGTGACCTGGATGTTTAAGAAGCTGAGAATTTAGAATATGGCACGTCTATGTTGCTATAATTCAGGTTTTTTTTCCTGTGTGACACTTATGTATTGCTGCTCCTGTGTTCATTTCTCCTCTCTGCGTTGCTTTTCCCAGCTGTTTGATCTGGTGTACAGAGAGGAGACTTTGCTAAATGTGATAAAAAGTGTTACCCGAAATGGTCGCTCCATTATCCTCACGGCAGTGCTGGCGCTCATCCTGGTTTATCTCTTCTCCATCATCGGGTTCCTCTTCTTGAAAGATGACTTTATCATGGAGGTGGACAGGCTGAAAATCAAGACCCCTGGTTCAGGTATTGTTTTTCTGCATGGAAATCTATTCCTGATTGATAGATAACTTTTCCATCAGTCTAATGCAACTTTCCCGTTAGGAAGTGTGAATTTTGCCTTTTTATCTGTGGGAGCAGAACTACCTCTATATGCTTTAGTAATAAGTTAAATTGCTGGGTAAAATGAATATGCAGGGTTGTTTTAAACTAGACTCATCTGTTGAAATGCTAAAATATCACACGTTTGATTTATTACATTTTCTCTGTTAATTTCTCTGTTACTCTGTTAACTTTCTCTGTTAACTGTTAAATATCCACGCCTCTACATTTCCAAAGTATTTGAAAGAGCAGCTCCGAGTGTGTTTGCTTGGTACCCAAATGCTGAGGTCTTCAGACCTGTACACAAGGGCAGAACAGCTAGTAGGAACCAGCCCTATGTAGGATTATATCCCTGTATGGCTATTTGGATATTACATGGAAACAGTAAAGAACATGATTGATAGATTTCTTTAACACACTTCGTTTTTGCCAGTTTTTTTCCAGCCTTAAAAAGGCTAAGGTGACTGGTATTGACTTACTATGCGTTTTGGAGGAGGATTAAGGTCTGAAGCTTCACTTTGAAAAACAATTTTAGCCACTCTTAGAGATGCTAGTCTATACGGAGCACTGCTCTGATCCAGTTCAGGAGTTTATATGTGTTTTTGCTTGTTCTGTTGGGTTCTTGATAGATTTTCGTGGTGGAACATACTGTATTATTGCTGGCTTTATACATTGCTATTTCTGATTAAGCTCTCATCAGGAAAATATCCTCATGCGATACTGTGCATTTCTCTATGATGGAACATCATGGGTCCCAAGACATGTGCTTTAAAACTTTGTTTTATAAAGCATCACAAGGGAAAGCCAGAGTAGATGTGTTTCCCCTATTACACAGATTGTCTTAGACTGTTATTTTGCTTGTATGATTTAGCCTTCTTTTTTTTTTCTTCCCTAAACCCTTTTTGCATCTCTGATTTGAAATGCAGAAAATTGTTGTAGATGCAGAAGATAAAATTGGTTTGATAAAATCAAGCTGATGTACACATTTACCCACTTTGGGAATGTTAAATTAGTGTTCTACTCAAACCCATACATATTTACAAATGAGTACCAAACTGTGTTATAATCCTTGAAAACTCTTAAATATTCTATGTTCAGGATAACTGAACATCAGCTTGGTGTCCTTCTTGTCAGCTTTTGTGAATAATTTATCTAATGGTTTTAACGCTGACATTATTTTCATATCTGACAGTTGTTTCTTGCTTTGAATATATTTTGTTCTAAACAGAAGTAGCAGCATTTGATGTAGATTCATTAATTTCGGGAGATGAAATAGGAATAGCTGTGATATACAGTAAATATCAAATTATGTTTTTGTTCCTTGTGATTGCTTTGAGCTGTTGAGGCTGACTAGTTGGGGAGGGAGGAGTTGGTGGTATGATTTGGTCTGCTTTTTCTTCTCAACTTTCCAGATCGGTGATTTGCTTCTAGAGAATAGCAATGTAAAACTTCATGTCAGTGGGCAGGTTTTGCAGTATCTGTCTTGTGAAGGTCCTGCTTCCTCCTCAGGTATTGGCGAAGTCCCCACTGTGACCCTCACATCAATGATGGGAGCCTGTGCAAAAGAGAACTGCTCTGCAAGCATCCCCCTTACTAGCCCAGGTTAGTGCCAAAGTTCCCCCAAACCAGCAATTAAACAGAACTGAGGGATTTGTGTGTTGTTATTACAAAGATTTTTCTCAGCATGAAAAGTGATGAGCACTGCTGTAGCTCAGAAGCGCTTGATTTTTGCAAGGCTTGAAGCTGAGCTGGCAACTTGCCTATAATGCAAGTGCTTCCCACACCTGATTTCCAACTGCATTGACATTAATTTTGTTACTGAAAGAGCCTGCTGAATCATTATGCTTGAATGTACAGGTTGTTTCTTTCTAGCTGACTTTGCTGAGACAGAAAGCTCGGTGCTCATCTGCATCATCACGACTGGCACGAGAGCCATTATTAGATCCATTTTAGGACCACATAACTTGATTCTAATTGTGTAGCATATGTCAGCGAGCATTTACTTGGGCTTTTTACGTGCATCCAGGCAAAAGTTGCAATGTAGTCAGAAGATGCAAGAGCCAAAACCCTGGATCAAGGTACTAAGTCTTAACAGGTTACGGTGGCTCGGCTCAGGATGGGTTGCAGTCTGTCGAGGCGCTCGTAACTTGTGGCAGAGGCAAGCGAATGCAAGCCTGGTTTTGGCAGCAAGGATGCCTTGCTTCATGCTTGGGGCAAGCCAAGAGCTCGTTGCCTGGCTTCAGCAGATGAACCCATCTGGTTTTCCTTTGGTACCTGCATTTTGAGTCCAGTAGGATCCCATCGGCTTAAAATATGCTCAGTTAAAATAAAGGGCCGTTCTGTCATGCCCTGCTGGAGTCCGTCCAGATATTGGGTGAGGAGGGAATTTTTCCCTCTCCTGTAGTGTGAGGCTACAGGATCACTTGGGAGTTTTTTAGCCTATCTAAAAATTGCTCATTTTTTGAGCTAGGCAGAGAGAGACCCTCGGCAGCGGCACTGTCCTGTCTCTGGTACTCTCATCCTGTGGCACAAACTCTTTGTGTCACATGTTCTGCTCTCCCACTACTGATGAGCTTGTGAGCTTGTAGGATCAAGAGTGTGGGGGGAGAGGGTTGTTAAAGTAAGTTTTTTTCCTCCCCAGCTGTTGTGTAAATGGGCAAAGTGAGAAACTGTCTGACTAGATAGAGAAAACAGTCTATGAGCCACAGGCAAACTGCGGCATTCAGAGAGTAATCAATCCATCAGAAGAGATGCAACGTGCCTTTTGCCAAGCTCTCTAAATGCTAGAAATCTCACATTTCTTATTGTTTGGGTACTGTCTCTTTAGAATTAAACAATAATGCAAGGGGGCTACGCAAAAGATCCAAGTGCACTGTCATTTAATCTTGGAAGAGTTTCATACATCCAGTACCAAAAAAAAAAAAAAAAAGAATTAAAAAGCAGCAATCAGCCAGAATCTGGCTCGTATTAGCCAGTGAATCAGCTGTCAGAAAGTGCCGCTTCACGTCCCATCATCTCCCAAGCCAGACCTCCTCCTGGTGAAAGCATGAGCCCCGTGCAGGGCAAGGACAGCTCAACCCAGGGTTTGGGGGGATTCATAGCCGCACAGATAAGTCCGTGACTGTTGGAAGGGAACGTGAAATGCTCTTGGTGCTGTCTCCACTCCAGTGTGGAAATGTAAATATCCTGCTCTTTGGAATGGATCACGGCTAATTGTTTGCTACAAGGACACTGTGCTTCTGTCTGGAGCCTCCGGCTGAGCATTTTCTCAGCCATTGCTCGTGCAGGTGAGGGAGTCAACTGGGAGGCGGTCTGCTCTGCTCTGAGGCTGTGCCCTCTCTGCAGCCTTCTTCTGCACTGCTACACCAATCTGCTGGTCTAAAAGTCATAGAATCATAGAATCGTTATGGTTGGAAAAGATCTTCACGATCATCAAGTCCAACCGTAAGCCCACCACCACTATGCCTACTAAAATCTCATGCCCCGCCTCCCTTGGTCTCCTGCACTTACAAAGCTGTTCTGTGCCATTAAGCCTTTGCCTGGTGAAATGTTTGTCAAGTGCAGGAGAAATCAGGCTAGAATTGTGGAGCAACTTGCACCTAAAGTTACACAAACCCATGCCTTGTTGGATTGGGACCTTACATAGATTGGCATGGCTATAGTCTCCTCTTGCCCTCGGGAGGGTCCCGTGTGTGTAGAGCCAAGCCCAGGTGACAGAGTGGAGGCGGTGGGATGGGGAACATTTTTTTTCTCTTCTTCCAGCACACATCTATAGGGAAGGAAGGGAATATTTAGCTACTCAAATGCTCCATTTAAAGGAATTTCACATCTGTAGAGTACCTGGATTTGGCTTTATTCCCTTTGTGCTCTTTAGCACATAGAACAAGATACCGATTTGTAAAAGGGGACATTCTCACATGTTTACTGCGCTGCCTGACCTGGCGCTGCTCCTGGCAAACTCGGATTGGTAAATGTGGGCATAATGCTGCCTGTCCTTGTCTTGGCACTCTGATCCAGAAGTCAGGTAGCTGTGGGCCTTAAGATCAGGGTTTTCCAAGCTAATCTCCCTGCCCTCCCACTGCCAGCGCCGTGGTGGACACTGTGAGCTGACCTGTGGGCTCAGCCTGTGGTTCTCTTTGGATTAAGCCAAACCGGGAGACACGTTGCATGAGTCTACCAAGAGTTGCCCAGCCACTAATGGTCATTCCAGCCACAAACCAGGCTAGAGCTGCTCCCAAGTAAAATCCCCCATACCACATTTAATATGGGCTCTGGGTCCTCAGCACTGCTTTTCTTTACAGATCTCTTGCTGTTGATATTACAGATGCTTTCAGGGTTACATGGCTCCCAGAGTGAAGGCAGCCCTTGTAGCGCCGTCTGTGGGAGTGACATCCCCGAGGGCTGCGTTGCTGCCTTGGGGATTTTTGCCCAATGCAGGCAGCCTCATTCCCTGACAAACAGCACCTTCAGCTTGCTGTTTTGGGTGAAAACGTGGGCGTTTTCCAGGAGATTGTGTCAGGCCGTATTTTTCTTTCCCTGGTTAGAAGGGCAAAAGCAAAGTGGGAACTGGGGGATGCTGCATATCACTCTTGTGAGGTGGTGCTGGTCAGCTGGTGAGCAGTATCTTGCTCATGAACATGGACTTGCTCCAGATTTTCAGTTCAGTAGATGTGGAGAGAGCTGCAGGTTGTTATGTGGAGCAGATACCTCTGGTATTGCAACCTCCAGTTCACAGCTGTAGTTCGTCCTTGCTGTATGGCAGGATCTGAGCATCTGCTGCGTGCAGCACCTGACCCCCCTCGCACGAGCAGTGGAAATCTTGTTCTCTAGTTACCTAAATGAAATAGAAGCTGCGGCTTTTGTAACGGTTTTCTATTTCTCTTGTGGCCTGTCATCTTTCTCAAGCCTAGATACTAACTTTAAAAAAAAAAAAAGTGACAGTGTAATGTTTGGAAAGAGGAAATAAGGGCAGGATACAAAAGCAGAGATGAATTAGTATGAGTAGGATCACACTGCTAGTAAAGAATATCCAGATGTGAAGGAGAAAAAAAGGTTTCATTGTTTCATTCCTTTCAGTTTCTATATTTAAGCATTTTTTTAAAAAATGTAGTGCTATTAGTGGTAGTAGTGGCCACAATATACTTTAGCCAGGATGAGTACCCCGATGCCTGCTTTTGCTTTTCTTTCTGCTAAGAATTGCTTGAATCAGGAGTTCTTTTTAATTTAATTTGCTTGCACAGCAAAATCACTGGTGGCAAAAGCAGCAGATACCAGCTCCGTTTTGTAAGTACCAGTCGTGATACACATACCCCGGTTTGGGAACCCCTTTTAAATCCAGACTGCTTATCTGTAATTTGAGTGCTTTCACTCAATTCCATTTATCAGAGTCTATCTCCACGCTCCAGGTGCGATGGGTTGGGGGCTGTTAAATCCACAGCCTCAGTTAACGGCAGCAGCAGAACTAGTTATTTATAATAACGTACAATAAACACATGGAGCGAACCCCAGTGAGGGTCCTGCTGCCTTCGCAGCCTAAGCAAACGTGTCCTCGAAGAGCAAAGCAAAGGAGGGTGGAAGAAATGACAAGGAGAGCCCTGACCCGGGGCGTCCCTCCTCATGGCGCCAGGGCTTGCGCCTCAGCAGTCGTAGGGTCGCGCACAGGGCGGCTCGCGTTGTGGCCAGTCCCTCCTCCGTGCTTCAAAACACCAGCCTGGCGTGAGTAGGTAGGGGAGTGACTTCGCCCGAAGACAATCCTTTTGTGAATGTGCTTCTAATTTTGGCCTCTTACTGCTTCTCCTCTGTGTGTCGGCTGCGCTCTCGGGAGGCCCCTGGAAACGCAGTGCTCGTGAAACTGGGGCATGTGCTTGCGAGGAAGGGGCTCTCCCATGGACAGGCCCGGCTGCTCTGGGCCCCGAGCAGTCTCTAGTGAGAGAACGATTGGGGGTTTCTCTGCCTCTCCTCCGGCTGAATTGACTGCTGTTCTGAAGCACGTCGCTGCTGGTGAGGGGTGATCGCTGCAGGTCTAGCCGGGGATATGAGAGGCAGATGCATGTTCTGTGCTCACTTTCCCTGGTGTGGGGTTGCCCCACTCAAGGAGCGACTGCTTGATGCTGCGATTCACAAAGCCCTTCTCCTCCCGCTTGTAGGTGAGGAAGAGGATGGCATCGAAAGGACCTGCGACACCCTGCTCATGTGCATCGTGACGGTCTTGAACCAAGGCCTGCGAAATGGCGGCGGCGTGGGGGACGTGCTCCGGAAGCCTTCCAAAGACGTGAGTGCCTGTCAGAGGAGCTGCAGCACTGCTCCCCGTGCGCCTCGTGAATGCCAAAGTCAATTTTTGGAGGACATAGGCAGTTTTTTTATCTAGTTGGCTCTAATGTCACGCTGTTGATTTATCCTTGTAATTTTACATCCCATATGGAACTTTTAATGAGAAAAGCTGGGCTTGTTGTGGTGATGTTATGTGAGAAAGGGAACACGAGATGGTAGTTTCCCTTTTTTTCTGGAAATCTGGGGCGTATTACAACCTTCCAGCACTGCTAGGAAGTGTTGCTGGGTTGGATCAGTTTTCTGTTACAGCAGAAATCATGAATGCAAACTTGCAGAAGGGAATGACTGATGGAACTATGTCAAGACTCTCCATTGTGGAATACGGGGTGTATGCTTAGCTGAGATTGAACCTAGCATCTGCCCTGGAATAGATCCCATTGTTTATTTGTATTGAGCATTGTCCTGCACTAGCATCGAAGTCACAACAGAATTTAGCAAACGTGCTTTTTCAGAAGTTTTCCCCAAAATTCTGTTCATTTAAGAACTACTCGTAACATTTGTCTTTTAAGCATCAAGATCGGTCTCACAGCCCTTTGTCTAATGTCCACACCACAACACAAGGCTTAAATGCACAAGTAGAATCTCTTGCAGGGGTCCAGATGCAAATAATTCATGTCTGAATTAAGCAGCTTCATGCACTGGTGGTAGGAATCTAGGTCCTAATTCTTAGACTGGGCAAGTCTACAGCACCCATAGTCCATCCCATGAAGTCTGTAAACATTTTGAAAATGACCCTTCCCGCTTAGCAGTAGTGTGATGCTGACTGCATTACAACACTTCCCCAAGAATAGCACTGTTATCCTCAGGAACATGTGGGAAACTGAGAAAAATCAATGACTTACAAGTCGTGTCATGGAGAGGAATGGGACTTGGGTTGAACGTGCCTCCTGTTTTATTTAAAGTGTTACTGAGAGCCCAGGGCAGCCTTTGCGAGAAGTGAAGAGGCTGTGGTTGGTGTAAGGGCACTAAGCGGCGGTGCCGTGGGGAACGCCGGCCGCGCAGAGCGCCAGGGCGTTCGCGTGCATCCTCCTGTCTGTGTGTGCCCCGGTGCTCCAAAAAGACATGAGCTTGGCCTGCCCCTCGGAGCCAGCTCCGAGCCACGTGGCTGCGCCAGCACGGGGCCCAAACCCCACGGAAGCCCTGCTTGGAGGCAGTGGGTAGCAGCCTGCCCTTGGCATCCTGCCTGCGTGCTTCTCTAGTTCCCCGTTGTTCATGGAGCAGATGTGGGGTCCACTGAGACCTGGCATCCATGGATCGCAACATGGCACCACGCAGGATTAGGGATACCAACCACAGCACTTAATGGGCACCAGAGACTCGGTACACTTGGTAGAGCACCACATAATGCATCTGCACTACATCTCGTGTGCAAGGCTGTTGGTTCTGCGGTCCAATACTATGTGGAACAGCACAAAGGACAGCAAGAGTCCCAAAGAGATAGGAATATACATATATATAGGATTATATATATAGGCCAGTACCTCGTTGCTCAGCCACATAGGTAATCCCTCTTATGTGAGGAAGGCCGGCAGAATTTGGCATATGGGAAGACAGCCTTTTCTTATGCATTGCCTCACTCAAGCTAATGTGAAAATGTTGTTTAATATTTTAGAGGTATGCTATTTTTATATCTTATTGCAACCTTATTATTGTTTCAGGAGCCCTTGTTTGCTGCGCGAGTTGTTTATGATCTTCTGTTTTATTTCATTGTCATAATTATTGTTCTCAACCTAATCTTTGGAGTCATCATTGATACATTCGCTGATCTCAGGAGTGAAAAGCAGAAAAAAGAGGAAATATTAAAAACAACCTGTTTCATCTGTGGTAGGTATTACTGAGCTATGGGAACACTTGATGGGTAAAAGAATAAAATGAAATATGCCTCAACATATAAAGCATGAGCCTAAGGAGTGGTCATCTTCAGCAAGGAAAGTATGTAAAAAAAAGTCAAGAGTTTGATTCCAAATTCATTCCCTCATAGCAGGAAGCAGGGTTGGTTTAGGAATCAAAAGAAAACTCTGCCAAGAAGTGGCTTCCCAGTCTCCACCCAGGATCTGCAGGAGAAGAGCTGTGTCTCACGCTTGCATCATTGCTGCTAATGGAGATGGTGCAGCTGCTGACTTTATTTCACAAAGCATGATGTAGATGAAAGTACAGCTTGCTATTTCACAGCACAGTGGATTCCAGAAGGGTAACAACGGCAAAATCTGCCTGTTTCAGAAGGTGATGTGGAACAGGGAACAAAGAAGTTGAGTGGAAATCATCCTCACAAAACCCAGAGATGAATCATGCTCATTTTGAGGGGCACTCACAAAGAGAGGCAGACCTTCACTTCCCTGCGGGACTTTAGAAATACCTTCTTCTTTATAGGCTGGGTGTTGTTTTCATGGTCGTCCTGGCAGGCATGAATGCTGTGCAGAGCACAATGGCTTTAGTTGTGTGGAAGGAGCCACAAAAGATCCAGGCAGGAAAACTGTATAACATGACAGAAAAACATTTGTGAATCCTGTCCTTCCTGAATGTGGCCTTCTCCACCAGAGCTTTGCCTGGTTGGAGAAAAAGAAAAAAAGAAAAATCTTATGACTCCAGCCCTGCAGTCTGCGTGACTACATTGCTGCAGAGACTCTCCCTCGCTGCTGAGTGGAAGCACACAAACAATCCCCGTGCAGCTGCAGCGGGGCTGCTCACATGCTTGATGCTCAGCGTGCGCATAAATCTTTGCAAGATCAGGACCTGGGTTGCACGCTGTGTGCTAACCAGTATACATTTTGAAAGAGTCGGAGCCAGCGCTTGTAAAGCACTTTATAGCCTTCAGCATAGAAGGCCCCGTAAAACTGTAACATATTTATTATATTGTTATTGTTATTAAAAGGAAGTATCACAA